GTTTAACTAATGCAAAAATCAGGTTTTTATCTAATTAATTAAAAATATTTTTTAATTAAATATAATAAATACAAAATTATACAATTAGTGGTCACGTGTACACATTTATAGGTCACAGATTTATTCCTTGGTCACATATCTTCAAATTAATTGGTCACAAATTATTTCGAGGTCACGAATCACAATTTATCCATCAATTTTATAGGTCACAGTTTATGTCATTGGTCACAAATCTAAAAAATTATAGGTCACGAATCACAACTATAGGCCACAAATGGTTATAAATCCAGAATATTATAGGTCACAAGTCACGTAATTTTGAATTTGATGGTCACAAATTATTTTTTAATCATAGAATGATCGAATTTCAAGGTCACAGATTAATTGTTGGTCACAGACACCAAACACCGATTATTTCGATTCATAATTAATTGGTTACAGATTGTCAAATTCTTAGGTCACACTTAAACAGTTGGTCACATATAATTAAATGGTTGGTCACATGCGTCTAATAGTGGTCACATACCACCATCACCAACAATATCGCACTGCCACTACCATCACAGCCAATCGCAACCGCCCTCACCACGTTACCATCGCCGCCTCCACAACAGCACCTCCACCAACACCAACAAATTGCCACCACCAAATCAAATTAAATGCCAACAAAAATCAAGACTACCACTACTAAACCACCTCCATCGTCGAAAACCACCACAACTTCCACCACCAAACACACCAACAATACCCAATCTACAACCTCACCAACACCACCCACATCACCACTGCTAACACGAACTACTCCGTCGCCACCAAAAACCACCACAACCGCCTCACCAAACACACCAACTATACAACTCACAACATCACCACCTTCTCCACCGCCAACACGACTGCCTTTTCTTTGTGACCACAACCACCCACCATTGCACATCGATGCTGCACAGAGAATGCAATGCTACTATGTAGTGGCTTAAGCAACAAAGCACTATTGCGCACAACGGCGGTCAGGGACGGCCATAGTGAGCACTGCATCACTGCACTAAAATCCGAATATAGACCTCATAAGCACCGCCATTTGAAGTTACGATTGCAACGACCGCCATCGCATTGTCATTATCGCTGCAGCGCAAGATCTCAAGCGGCGACTACAACGCCATCATCTGCGTGATCGATGCCCGAGCAGTTTCATCGCAGCGCACACCAGAACCTCCACCATCAGCGCCGCCCAAAATCGTCACCACAATCACCACCGCAAGCTCACAACCACAATTAGCAGCACTACCCCCAACAAAACACAACCCAAAATCCCCAAAATCATGGTTGCGGTCTCAAACCGTCATGAGGATCCGAAGCGCCACGCATATCAGGGCCAAGATCTCTTCCAGCGCCGACGCCACTACTGTTGAGAGAGAAGAGAGATTAGGAGGAAGAGTGTTGTCCCTGTCACTGTGTGTTTTGAGAGAAAGAAGAGAGAGACGAGAAAATGGGTTTGAAATTAGGGTTTGAAATTGGTGGATATATTTATCCATTGATTCCTGATTTATGAATAATAAAATTTGACCTTTGATTTTTGAATTCTAATCTTTAAACACCTGGAATTTTGTAATTTACCCTTTAGTTAGTCTCGGCTTGGGTTGGGCTTTTATTTGGGGCTTGGGTCACGTTATCTGGGCTTTAGTTTTTCAACTGGATTTGTAATTGGGCTGGTTTATTGTTTGGATGTGGGTTTTAGTTTAGATTTGGGTAACTATTGGGTTCCGTTATTTTTGTGCTTAGACTTGGGTTAGGGGTCGGGTGTAGTTTGGGTTTGGGTTCAGAATGTAGTTGGATTTAAATTCAGGTTTAATTTGCTGTTGGGATGGACTTCAGTTTGGGCTTGAGTTCACATTTGGGTTGGCTTTTTATTCGGTTTTGGGCTGTATTTTGTACGGGTTTGATGTACATAAAGTAAAAATATTGAATAAATTGAAATGTAATGATTTCTTTATGATAGACTTTGGTTAGATCTCTATTTTCAACTATTTCAGTGACATCAACAAATTTTGTGATACAGACAAACACAAAAAAAAAATCAAATTAAAAGATGTACATTTGGACCCCGTTTGGTAGGGAATTTTTGCCCCAAAAAATTGATTTTTTGACCGTTATTTTACTATTCAAGCCGTAATTTTTGACTTCTTCTCTTACATGTGGACCCCACTTTTCTTCTAACGGTCAAAAAATCAATTCTTAAAATCCCTACCAAACGGGCCTTTGATCAAGTTTAAAATATTTACGTACAAGAAAACTAAAAGTATGTAAAAAAAAATCCAAATTAAAAAATTATTCATTTTGTCTATACTATAAACTTTTTTACCTAAAACATAAATATAAAAAATTATCTTATATAAAGTCCAAACATATTTAAAAACAAAAAATTACATATTAATCAATCTCGTCATATTAATCCATAGCATTTATTTTAAATTAGAAACCAAAATTACATTCAAAATAGATATCAAAATGAAAAATCTTACACAAAAGAGTTCCTTTTCTTTTGAATGGGATTAATACAAATGGAGGAATAAAAATTCCCCATTTAATTGTATCGAGATAAAAATCTTTTTCGTTTCTTTATGTATTTATATATAAAAAGTAACAGGATTATCATTAATTTTTATGCTTATACAAAAATGAACATGCAATAATAAATATCCAATACTATATTAATTATTTTTTAGAACACATAATAATATTTTTATGAATACTTAAAAAATTGGATTTGGTTAAAATCAGAAAATGTGTAATTGAGATGCAAAGCTTGTATTTAGTGTGTGGATACAACTATGGAAAGTGTAAGTATCTCCTAATTATTATGAGTAATTAGTAAAATTTTTAAGATGAATGGATAATTTCTCCTATTATCAATTCTTTCCCTTCTAATTGTTGATCACATTTAAGCAATTTTTTCTTTTTAATTTATTGTCCTTTGTATTTAGATAGTTATATTATCAACTATTAATTAATTTAACGTGAATATTGACAATGTTATATAAGGACAGAATGGTAAATTGAACACTTCTCATCTATCTTCACATTTTATTTTTATTTATATTGTAATTATAATATAATTATATAAGTAGATGAACATCGATTTTAAATGAAGTTCACGTGTATACACACACACACATATAAAATACATTATAATATATTAAAGGTGGCATCAATAATAGATTAATTAAAATTTAATTTCATGTAATCTTCTTTTAATTATAGAGTTCATTTTTCATATTGGAATACTCATAATTTTAGTTTAATTAAATTCAGTTTAATCACTTAAAATCAAAGCTCTTCTACATATATAATCATATTAAAAATATAATAAATATTATTTTATATTATCATTAATCTACCATTATATTAATGCAACCTTTAAATATTTTATTATATAATTATAATAAAAGTGCATCTATATATGTGATCTTAGAATTTAAGTGGTAAACTTAATTTAAATAATATAATTTAAGTAATTAAATTTAATTTGATTAATGTAAAATTTTAAGTATTCCAATATAAAACAATAAATATTACACTTAAATGGATATTAAATGAAGTTAAATTATATTAAATGATACTATATTAAATATATAAAGGTAGAATTGGCGTATAGCTAAAAATATAAGAGACTTTTATCAAGAGCATTACTTCAATTTATTTCACAAGAAATTGAAAAATGGGGGTATTACTTAAGGAACTCAATTGATGGCCCTAAATTCTCATTTTTATATTAAAAAATTTATTTCAATTTGATTAATAGTATTAATTCAAAATGAAATTGAAAAACGAATGTTTAAGGGAGCTCAAATGATGGTCTTAAATAATCATTTATAGAATTTTTTTAAATTTAATTAATAGCATTACACTTAAATGGATATTAAATGAAGTTTAATTTATTAATTTATATTAAGCCTCCGTTTGGTAATAACTTTTCACTCCAAAAAATTAATTTTTTGATCATTATTTTACTGCTCTAACCGTCATTTTTGACTTCCTCACTCACAGGTGAGAGCCACTTTTCTACCTAATGATCAAAAAATCAATTCTCATAGTCACTATCGAACATGCGCTAAATGGTACTATGTTAAATATATAAGGGAAGAATTGATATATAACTAAACAAGTAAGGATAAAATTGGTATTCAAAAATTTCTCCTCAATCCACACTTTATTGAAGATGTAGGGAAGGGGGATCCACAGTACTATTAAGATCCCGTTTGTTTTCCATTAATGTAAAAATAAGAATGAAAAATATAGTCGTTACGAGTCTCATACAAGAAAAAGAAGTTCAAATATGATGATTTGATGTGATAAATAACAATCATATTTTTCGTTTTAATGGTCAAATAATGAAAAACAAACAAGGGCAAAGTTTAAGAGAGCTCCCAATTTACATCCCCATGTGCCGTCTCCAACTTTCAAAATCAAATTGGCGTAATTTTCACACCATTTTGCAGAGTTGTTTTCAATCATTACACAAAATACTACACCCAATAAATATAAACCCGTTTGATAGCAATTTTTCATCCCAAAAAATCAATTTTTTTGACCGTTATTTCACTATTACAACAATCATTTTTTACCTTTTTACTCACAAACTTTTCTATCTAACGATCAAAAAATCAATTCTCATAATCGCTAACGAACAAGCACATGGTTTAATTAATTTTCTTGTTTTTTGATTCTCAGCAATTAATTTATTTTAGAAAGTATATAATTACAAACTATATTATTACAAAATTATAAAATTAAAAATTATACTTCGAACCTACTTGAGCCACATTTTTTTTATTTTTTTTTTGCCAATAATGTATTTTGAAATAGTGATTCAATAGAAACTATGTGGTTAAAAAATAAAGAAAAATTTTGGATTCAAGTGTAATATTATTTTATTGAAAAATGTGTAATTAAAAATAAGAAAGAAAAATATATTTTGAAAATAATAAAGACCAAACAATGGCTTTAAGCCCAACACGTCTTTCCATTGCAGCATATTTTAGGTCAGTAAAGCCTCCAACAAATTTTATGTCAACAGAGCTTAATTTGCAACAAAATGGTACCTTGAGTCGACATAGCTCTCCACGTCCCGGTGGAATGAAACAAAAGTCACCGCCTCCAAAACAAGTCTCTTCAGACCACCAAAGCTAATCTTGATGAGTTCTTCTTTCGAAGTATCAACGGTCCCTTCAGGTATGATGATAATTTCAGGTCTACCGAACAATGCTTCGGTATGTTTCTCAATGATACTAACAGCCTCTTTAGATCGGATCGTTGCATATCTCTTAAGTGTCTCCCCATCAAACGACATCACGTAAGTTCGCAATCTTGAAAGCTTCATCGCAGGACCGAAACCTCCGGCACTAAAGCCACCACCAGACAATGATGACAATTCGGGGTGGGGTTGAGCATTCTGAAAAGACTCGTCACTGCTTTCAAGACTAGGCTTCCTCTTCCGTTGGATTTCAATCTCTTCATTGTCAACCCCCTGTGGAAGGATTTTCATCGTCTTCTCTAACTGAAACCGTTGGTCGACTCGCTTAAGGAAATATCCATACATCACAGATGCTGCATAAACCTGGCCAACCCTTAGTTTGCTTATTTGGGCGACTGAGGTTGAATCACCTAATCGATTTCCCAAAATAAGAGCCAGGTGATTTTGGATCATCTCACAAGCTTCCGGAGAATGGAGACTCTCAAACTTCCCTTCTTGGCTGGGCCATGTATCAACTCGACCAGAATTGTCTGATGATGGGATGAGAGTGGGTATCAATGACACATTGGCATCCATGAATTTCTGTAACACCAAGGCATACAATATCTCTTCCAAGGCCTTTCTCCTTTCATTAGCTTTCACTCAGAAATTCTCCTGATCACTAGAGATAACCCATCAGACTATTAGTTTGTACACATCAAGCATAATGAAGTTTCCAATTAAACAATGAACCCATAAGAGAGCATTCTTGGTGGTGAAGGAAAAAAAAAAAAAAAAAAAACTCCACAATTTTATGGAGTATTTTTAGTTTGGTTATTGACAAAAATTTCTAACGACTATATATATCTCAGCACCAATCAACTCCTGAGAATTGCATTACTTGGAAGCAGTGTCTTCTAGGCATAAGCAATTAACTAAGATCCATGCGTCAACTGAACTACTAAGTTACTAACCTGTACATTACTAGGTCGGTGCCAGATGCAGCTGGTTCTTCCTTCTCTTTATCTGCATCACGGCCAGTTGAAGCAGCTCGAGCTGCTGTTCTACTTCAGCAGGAACAAGGTGTGGGTGACTTAACAGAATTTGAGAGAGAAATTGTCCAATTGGAGACTCTAGCCGAAGTGGAGCAATAGGAGCATCTGAACCAGCAGAATCAGAAGATTGCATCGATGCTCTAATCAAAGCGCCCTTCCTGGTTACAACATTCACTTTCTTGTTTCAGAGCTTCACATAAGAAATAGACTGTTGGCGCTGCCATCAGCATACAAATAAAGTCAGATGAACTGCATTTTGGGACATATGAAACATGGGATTCTAGAATCCAATGTAAATTAACATTGGTCAACAAGCTACTATAATTTTTCTCTAATTCTTCTCAACATTACCATTAATTGAAAAATAGATAAACTACCAAAATTGAAAATACGGCTGGCTGCTCATATAGGACATCATCACTCAATTATTAAAAATGAATAATTGCATGCAAGGCGATCAGAAAGAAACATTTAGGAAATAGCAGATTCTAAAAGTCACATCATAATGCTCCAAAGAGTTTAAGTAATATAAAATTTGGACCGCAGATGCTCATATCAAGATGTTAACAAACTAGAGAGTTACAAGCCACATGAATTCATCTTCTGAACAATGGCATTGCAAAAAACTTGAGTATATCACCCCATTTGTTAGAAGTATTATTATTTGAACTGCACACAGATCAATGTTAACAAACTAAGTGCATGTTTTGAAAAGCTTAAATTATAATTTAAGTTGGTCAAATATACATTTTATACACATATTTTGTAAGACCCACAACTGCTACCCATTTATTATCCACACATTTAGTAGGACCCATGACTTATAATCACTTATAAGACCTCCCAAGCACGCTTTAAAAAGTTTAAAGCCACATAAATTTATCTGATGTACAACAATGGCATTGCAAAAATCTTGAGTAAATCTCCTAGAGCCCATTAAATCATGCATTAAGGGAAGATAAGAAATTTCTCCAAAATAAATTAATCATTCAACTCACAAAATCTGTAAAGTAAATGAACATAGATTCATGTCATGTTCAGACATAATAGATACTCACTTTGATTTTCTATTCGAGAGATTTCGGCATTGACCTATTTCAAAAATAAATGGATCATTTTCACTAATATAGATAAAGCGCATGATAGGTCCTCTGTTGGTGCCAATTGTCAAAACTTAATGTTGATCAGGGAACACATTCAAAAGAGGGGAGTGCTGATGCCCTCTATCTACAACATTCTATGATATAAGTGTAAGATTTAGTGACGGTAGTAGAAAATTTTCTATTACAGTTGCATCAAAACTCTTTCTTTTGCTTTAATCTCAACCAGTTTTTAAGAACATCTCAAAATGAGTTTCCTCAGCATATATTTGCATGATGTAGTTTTCAATGGCAGATAAATCGTAGTAAAATTTTGGAAGAGTAATCAGAATCTATAGAGTTTTAGATTCAGTAGAACTAAGGCAGAATATATAGAATTCCCTTTCAATCACAGCAGGAATAAGACTGATACTATAATAAACATGGACAACCATATTTCTTAATAACAATTATGTAGTTAAATTTAGTTATTGATAAAAGCCAATTAAATGAAGTGGAGAAGGCTACAAGAATTTTATGTGATTGAAAGATTTCTACCAGGTTAAAAGTAAAATCCATAAAATGAATATTAGATAAATCTATACTTTATTATATTACGTATCGTACCATTGAGCACAGATGGACATGAGAGGATAAAAAATAGAAAAAAAAATTAAAAAAATGAGGATATTGACATGAAAATGAGACCACATTGTAATTCATAAAATTGAGATGAAATTTTGCAAAAAGTGAAAGGACAACTAAACTGCTAATTTAATATACATTGAGTGAATGACTTATATAAATGGTCGTATGGCTTGCATGAACAAAAAAGTGACCTAAAGTTCCTCCCTAGAACCATAGGACGAAATCATCCATAAGGATCTCAAATAGAGCAGGCATGTGCAAAACAAGAATCCCACATAACATTTTCCACCCTATTCATCGTTCCTTTAATTTCCCTCATCACATTAAAGGTCAAAAACTATAATTGGGATGGATTGTCGGCTCCTCTATTCCCAGGACACCAAAATTATCAAACTACGAACAAAGAAAAGAAGGTAGAAAAGCCTAATGACTAGTGATTGTAAGGTTCCATTCGAACATTTATTGGTATAGTAGTTACTACTTTGGATTGAGCAAAAGGTAAAAAGACTCTATAACCAACTCCAAGTTTACTACAAATATGACTGACCCTATGAATTTGCTTACTCAATATTTTAATTTCTTCATATTTCATGTTATACTTCAGTTCACTCCAAGGTTAGCTAACTTTCATGTTCATAATTCAGCAACAAAAAGAAGAAAATAGAATAACTTCATTCATATTTCTTCCACAAAAAAATCCAAATATACTATTAAATTGCCAAAATTAACTAACAAACATTTTTTTTTTTTTTCCCTTTCCCTTCTCATGGACTGAAAAGAATCCTCCAAATATACTTTCTTCAATTTTATTTATTTATTTATTTATTTTTTTAAACTAACTATGCCCCTGCATCAAAACTGATATAATTCAATAAATTACAAAGAGTAAAATCAGAAAAATGACCTTCTCAAATCTTATTTTAAAAACCCGACACAATTAACAGTATCTGGCTCTCTTTATCAAAGCTAATAAAATCCCAACTCCCAACTCAATCCACAAACTATAGATAAAGAACAAAAACCTACTCAAACACTACAATTCACAAATCCACTACTCAATTTGATTTTATCTTTTTTCGTATAGTAAATGAAGAGAATATTACCTGAAGCCATGGGGTTGAGATCAGGGATTTGGATCCAAAACACAGGAACTCGGGTCGGATAGCTCCAGATCGGAAGAACCGGTTGGGAGTTCCGTGAGAAATGCAGCTGAAAGATGACCCGAAAGCAGCTGCTGTTTCCATCTAAAATCAAGAGCAACAAAAAAATGAAGTAATTAACCAAAAAATAAAAAATACCCAGCGCAGCAACAAGCCCCAAAATGAAAACACTACAATTCTTAAGTACCAGAGAAGTTACACACATAAAAATGAAATAAAACCTCTGTTCTTCGGGAAAAGTGAAGTAACTCGAGTATTGAAATGAAAAACTGAATCAAGATGATTTGAATTGAAAAACTGTCCTTTTTACTTCAGGAAGATATGATTTGTATAATACGTATGGATTTGTTGGGTGGCAATTGATGAATAAAAGTTTGTTTTGTGAAAAATGGGAATTAATAGATGCTGCATGTGACAAATTTCTACTTTGCTGGAATAAAAAAGCCCTTCGTTTCCATAATTTCATGGAAATACATAATTATTTATGAGTAATTATGAAAAATAAATCAGAAATTAGAATGCAAAGCGCCTTGATTAATAATAAATTCTACGTCAATGTTTAAAACATGGGTCTTGTTTTAAAATACAATATGCAACTCATGTTTCACGAAAATTATTTACTTCGTACATGTGAACTGCAAGTGTTCAAATTTCAATTTTAAGGAATTTCACAATTTCAATAAAAGGGTTTTATAAAAATACAAATTGATTACATTAACTACGAATTTATTTGCGACATATTTGAGAGAGAAATTGATCCTCTTATTTCACACTAGTTCTCTCACATCAATTATGCATTTACCACTTAAAACACATTTGTCATATCAATAGAGTATATAGAAGGCGACTCAATTGCACGAATGAGACATTTGTATATGATACCATGGACTCGTTTGACATGATGCTTGAGTAGTTTAAGAAGTTTTTGAATTCATTGGATTAATTTTATGAAAAGTGTCTCTTGTAATTAAACGTAGTTTTTTCTTTTTAAAAAACACTTTCGAAATATGTAACTCTTTCAGAAATTAGTTTTTAGACAAAAATTTAAGATAACTTTATCGAGAAGTTAATCTATAGAGAGAGCAATAGTCCTGTCAAAATGATACTATATTACGGTAAGATTATCAAATATAAAAATTTTATGTACTGTGGACAATTTTTCCTTTCTTGGAAAGGAAAAATACTTCAGTAGGACGGTCGCACCAGTTGAAGTGCCACCTCAGTGGGTGGCCCACACACCTCGGGGGTGTGTGATGAGCCACCCTCAAAAGTTGCCCTCTCTTATAGGACAGTCACACAATGTGGACGGTTCGATCGTCTTAATGGAATATTTCTCCTCAGAAAGGGTCTATGTTTGTCTTTCACTCCCAGATTGCATGAATTGCCCGTAAAGTACAGTTGATACCTAAAAGCTTAGCCAAACAGCTCCAAGGGCCAAAAGCTGTAAATGAAAATGATAATTGAAAAGAAAATGAATAGAAATTTTATCACAACTTGCAGTTCAATTCCACGTTGCAATTGAATTACTTATTTTCTTGTTCTTTCACGTAGGGTCCGTTTGGTTGCAAGAATGGAATTTGGGTGGAAAGAAAACGAATTTCAGGAAATTGAATTGTTTAGAACTTGTTATATTGGAAATTGTTAATTAAATGTGTTTGATTGATATAATTTTTCACCTATAAAATATTGAAATTTTGAATCTTTTGATATTCGTTGGCTTTATTTTTCATAGAAATTGTCAATTAAAGTGATAAAATGTATTACAATTGAGGATAGAATTTGTTTCAATTGCCAAAACAAAAAATTTGGAAAACAGAAAACCACCAAACCCATGGAAAAACATTTTCCTTAAAAAGTGGAAAATGGTGCAAAAATAGGTTGTAACAATAAAACCAATTCCATAGAAAATTCGGCCAATCAAACATGAAAAAAGATGGAAATTTCCATAAAAAATGGAGGGTATCAAACAGGCCCTTAATTATATAAATGTACGGAGCTCCACGTCACGAATAAATAATTCATTATATAAAAATAGGATGCAGTTATTCCGCATACTTGACATAATACGACCACGTCAAAAATATCGACAACGGACTACAAATTTGGGGCAGCGAGAAAGGGTAGTTTGGTAATTGACTATTCGTGAGAAGATCTTTTGGTTGTGCATGGAGAATGGGTTGGTCTTGTCTTGAAATATCTATATTGTAGAGCACATTTTTTATTGAAAACGTTGGGCTAAAAATTGTGGTCAGCGACATCCAATGAAAATTCTTATGCGCCAACCTTTGTAGGTTGACGCATCTTCTTTTGATACACAAATTCAAATTAAAATTAAAATTAAAATTAAAAGAAAAAAGTAATTATAAGTGACCTTTCATAGTTTTTGAATTATTTAAATTGGTTTGCCTCACAAAAATTTAGTGTAAAGGAATGATCCGCCAAAGTTAAAAATAATAAAATAAAATAAAAAATCAAGCTCAATAAAGATGTGGGTGACCTAAAGGAAATTCAAGGCATGCATGAATTGGTAGAATGAATAGAGATGACCAAAAAAAGGGAAATAAGCGAATGTGGACAATATTGAAAGACTTCGAGTGTAATATTGATCGAGTTTTGAATAATATTTTGAGGTTAGACCTTATGAAAGATAGAGTATTTTTGAATGTTATTTTGACGACATACCAAAAGAGATTGAGATAATTCGCGCATTAAGCCAAGAAAATATTTGTACATGCTATCTAGTCATGTGGAAGAGATGCAAGTAGAAGTACGATCATATTACATAATCCATTGGAATCGATAAAATTAACTTTCTTATTTAAATTTATATTTATTCACTTATATGTAGACACACATGTACAACTCATACATATTTTTCGAGTCCCATCTATGTTGCTTGATGGAGATTACTTTAAAATTAATCCTATCACTTTGGCTTGGAGATGAAGAAGTCAAATTTATTTTAAGAAAGAGTGTTCTATATAGGATTAGGACACTATCTTGTTATCTAATCTCAACCATTGTTAAAATACAATTAAGAAATGAATTTCATTTTGGAAAACCACACAAGAAAAAAAGTGCAACATGCTTGGAATTACATTGATTTATACCTTAAATTGTGCACAAATTTTATTTTATATATATATATATATATATATATATATATATAGGACAAATAATACACTATTGAAAATATAATTGATTTAGAATTCAACGCAAAAGATCGAAGTATGATTAGAAGTTGTAGATCATAACTTATGCGTGTTTGAAGTTAGGCAAATTGAGCAAACTTCAGTTTTTTACAAAAATTTTGATATTTGCTCAGCATACTGACTTCATATTTATTAAGCATACGCAACTTTTGCACATCAAACTCGAAATCTTTATTGCAAACTCAAGATTTGACCAACTAATTAACCAGATATCTATAAAATTCAATATTTATCTAGCAAAAATCTTGCAATTTCACCTATCAACCCAAAAATTATAATGTAGATAATCTGAAACGTTAAATTTCTCATGCAGATAATCAAGAATAAAGTTTAGTGAGCATTTATGAATTAAATTCATTGTTCCTCTCTTGTGCCAAAAAAGATATGGGTGCAACTCCTGTCCTTATCTGCACTTATCCGATAATGTTTCGCCGGAAAACCCTCGATTCTCTTTCAATTGGCATTAAAAGTTGGAACAATACTTTTTCTTTCTTAAATTATTGCTCTATTATTTATTTGACTAATTACACGCAGCTATAGTTGAATTTTATGCTTTACGATCAAACTCTATCCATTTTTGTTAATCAGTTTAATGCTTGTATGTATTTAATACTCACTTACAATCTCAAAGTTGTATATTTGTAAATTAGTTTAGTTCTTCTTATCAATGAAATTATGTTAGTTTTTTAGATGAATTGATAAAAGAATGAAAAGGGGCGGCTAAAATTTGATGGTGCAGCACTGCAGCTCATTATTCTCATTTTGCCCTCCATTTTTTTTTTTTTTTTTGATATCCAGGTATCCCAGTTTACACCAGACTAAATCCTGGACCTCCAAGATCCATGCCCCTAGAACCTTGGAGGGGATAAATCGCGGGATATGCCTCAATTGGATCACAGGTTCCCCTTATTGACTGTACACTTCTGAGCACAAGAGACCCTCCTCCACAATGATTACTCCATACCAAATTTTTGATCGTAAGTTCCCACCAGGAATCGAACTCTCCACCCTGCCGCTGGAAGCAAACCAATGTTGATTGATCCACCAGTTGAGCTGTCCCCCGAGGGGCTGCCCTCCATTTTCTGTTACAACAGATTGTTGTTCTTTCTATATCATTTTAGAATTATTAGATTTGAATTTATTTATAATTGTTTTACTGTGATTATTATTTTTGTTGAACATTCATTTTTAAATTCTAATCAAGTAATAAGTATTGATATAACCTTTTCGTGCGTTCAATGTAATTTTTTATTTGCGGTATTCTATTTAATTTTTTTTAAAAATTTATTAATAAATGCGATATTTTAATTTATTAAATATAATTTTTGATTTTACTATTTTAGTAATAATTTAATTTGTAATTAAATCATTTAAAATAAATTGATTGTTGAGCAATAAATAATATGAAAATATTGAAAATACGATTCATTTGGTATAACCATTGGAGAAGTAACATCAAATTGCATCAAATTTGGTGTAAAAATTACCCCAACTTTGGTGTAACCGTTGGAGATGTTTTAAGAATGTGTTTGATTGACTTTATTTTTCATGAAAAATATCTTTCTCCATTCAAATTCTTACTTTTGGAATGTTTGATTAGCACATTTTTCCATAAAAATTATTTTCAAAAGTTGGTCACAAAATCATATTTTCCTCAAAAACGAGATAAGCATTTTGTTTTTTATGGGGGTAGATTTTTATTTTCTAGACATCAACTTTATATAAAAGTACAATAATTTAAGGTTGAAAATTAAGTTAGTCAAATACATTTAATTAACAATTTTCATACGATTGCGTTGAACCTTTTTTTTCATGCATGTAATCAAACACATCCTTACTTATATCTTTGTACATGTATGTATGGGAATGAATTTCCTGTGCACCAATTTTGAGCAAATAATAGTGTTCAAGAGTTGTTCGATAAATCTAGCCATGAGACTCTGGTTGACTTTGTGTACTTACTTTCTGCAGGTTTTGGTAATTTTGATTGTGGTAAACTGTTGCGTATAGTGTGGGAAATGGCAATTTTTGGCTGAAAATGAAAGCATTGAAGAGAAAAGTGGGCAAATATGAGCTTGGAAGAACCATTGGTCAGGGCACTTTTCAAAAGTTATCTGTCCTGAACACGGAGAATGAGAAGAGTGGCCATCAAAGTCATTGCCAAAACTACCATTCTTACGCACAAGATGGTTGATCAGGTATTCAAGTTCCTCAGTTTTGCTTCTTTTGTGTGTGTGTGTGTTGGATTTTACGGAAAAGAAATAATGATTTTATTGTGAGGAGATGGCACAATGATGTGGATCCTATTGCTAACTAGATGGCCCTATTTTGACTCGTTTGACTCAATTTAGTTTGATAATAAAACGTGTTCTGAAAAAGTACGCTTTTACTAATGGAGCAAATGATCT